AGTTTGTTGAATCTGACGTGACATGTTCGTACGAACCCTTTGTACGAACAAAAGTAAGMGAAATTTAGGATAAGAATACGAACATGTTCTTGCATGAGGCCCATTGTGTTTAAGTTGTAAATTGAAAATTTTCTGGATTGTTGATTCTGCCGTGTTTTTTATCTGGCCTTTTAGTGACGATGCTTCTCAAAAACCGCGCCGTCCTTTCCCTCGGGCTTCGCCTGTGCTCCACACATGTGACAAAAGGACAACTGGTTGAACCAGGAAGACCCAGTTCAGGTAAAACTTTCAATTTTCTGCTTCATTAAAGCTAATTAGAAACATAATCTATTCCTCTTGCCAGACACTTTATATAAAGGTTTAATTCAGTGTAACGTTAGAGTAATTTACAGAAATAGTTTTGTGCACATACATGAGTAAGAAATCAGTTCAGTATTTAATGATAATTAGGAAGGAAAAGTTAATACTTCCTGATTAACTTAATCATAAATAAAGAGGAACATTAGCAAGTGCTTGGTTCTATGCAAATTAAGTCCAGACTCGACTTCTACCTGATTACATCCTGTCSTAAGTCAATAAAAAATGGATTAATCAAGCTAACGCTTTGCCTAAGTACATTTGTTGTTCTTACTGACTGATTTTAGCTTCTAAATGGGACCTTCTTTGGACTTCACATCATCACAAATCGTCTGCTCATTTAAAAGCGTATACTTAAACATCAGATCCGATGTGAGTTCCGCTCTTATTTTCAGACATGTCTGAATTCCGCAAGGCTTTCTCCAAGGCCAAGCACATAGCGATCATCACCGGAGCAGGCGTGGGTGCAGAGAGTGGCATACCAACCTTCAGAGGAGAACATGAGAAGTGGAGGAAGTGGCATTCTCAGGTAATTGCCAAAACAGACCTTTAAAGTATGTTTTTATTTCTTCAAATCAAAGCTTTGACTTGTTTTCTYGGACTGGGCAGAACTGATCTTGTTTTATATGTTAGTAAAACTCCCTAAATGAAGCATTAACTGAACTCGACCTATCCCGACATTTAAGCTTGAATTCAAAGCTTTCCTTTWGTCTTTGTGATTTGTATCCTCAGGACCTCGCCACTCCAGAAGCCTTCTCCCGCACCCCGTCCCGGGTCTGGGAGTTCTACCATTACAGGAGGGAGCTGGTGCTGGACAAGAAGCCCAGCGCCGTTCATCTGGCCATAGCGGAGTGCGAAGCCCGGCTGAAGAAGCAGGGGCGCTCCGTGGTYGTCATCACGCAGTGCATAGACGACCTGCACCGACAGGCCGGGTCCAAACACGTGCTCCAGATCCACGGTGAGGGTTGGAATGATGGGTGGATATTTGGGAAAACATTGCCAGCACYGAAACGACATGTAACTATTGCTTAAGCTACACTGTGGTTTGCTGGGGGAAAAAAAAAAAGCTGTGGAGATTTCTGAAGGCTGCTGTTATTTTTAATTAATTTAATTTTTTTCTGTGCGAAACCAGGCAGTCTGATGGAGACCCGCTGTGTGAGTTGTAGGCAAGTGACCGGGAACAGGCGCAGCCCCATATGTCCTGCCTTACTTGGCACAGGGTAGGCAGCTCTTCATGAATACGCTCACGCGTTTAGTGCGATCGCTTCAGTTTAACCTGTATCCAGGTTTCTGACCCACTGCATGTGTTCTGTTGTTGCTCAGAGCACCTGGTCCAGATGTTCCTGACGCCCAGATTCCTGTTGACAAGCTGCCAAGGTGAGATTCATTTTAACACTTATTCCCTTTAATAACAGACACATTTTTCTTAATATCTCATGTATTTAGGAGTGCAGAAAAGTTTAATATAGTCTCTTCCAGTGCTGCATAGATACTCTGTTTGTGTCATATTTTTTAGCGCGTTCAGTTTTGTCTATTTTCTCTATTTTGTAGGAGAAACTCTTATCAACGTATAAGGCTTCCTTACACCTCTCATAACAAGGTTATGAGGAAATTATTTGTCACGGATTCTTCTTATTTTTCGTAAATATCTCGGCTGTGCAAAGTGAATCACACACACAATAAGTGGGCCAACTCGATCAGTTCAGTTTGATCCATAAACAAATGCGATCGTTTATTTACATAAATTAAACAAATCATGAGTTAACAACTTAATTGTGAGCAATCAATTGTCCTTTTGTTCATGATTTATCTTTGATTTAACAAATGCATAAACATTCTTAGTTAAATGAAAAATGAATCACGAACAATGGAGAGTATCCTGTCCATTATCTGATWAAGAGGAAGAGAAGTCTCTTCCACGGTTAGAATGACCTGTCACGGCATAAATTAATTTCAGGTCTTGTCCGAGGCCTGCTTCWGAGGCAGAAATTCTTGTTTTCACACTTGAGGTGACCCCTACATGAACTATTTCATCGAATTATTTGCGAAGGAACTGCCAAGCATAATACATCTCCTTTTAAAGCGCCTGAAAGTCCATTAAGGCTTTTGCTCCACTAGAGGGCAGCAGTGTGTTAYGAATATTTCAGATTCACTTTAAGGTTGAGTTTGGCTAAAATGTGTCTAAAGAGCAAAGTGACGCACATAAAGTCTGTTTATTTTTTTGTAGAATGTATCATTCAGGATGTCTCCATGCTGCAGCATCACTGATTTAGTCTTGATGTTATGCTATTTATTTTGTAAAAAATGCAGCATCGTTTATTGTGTTTGTTGCATTTTCAAGGTGTGAAGACAGAGACTGCCAAGGTCTTCTGAGGCCCAATGTGGTCTTTTTTGGGGAGACTCTGGACTCTCATCTCCTGACCATGGTGGAAAAAGAAATCGAAACCTGCGATCTCTGTCTGGTGGTGAGTTATCATCCTGATGTGTAATAGTTTTTTTTATGCAATCCGGTATTTTACTTCATTCTGCCAAGGTCTTGACCTGAAAAAGCACGACTTTAGGGAGAGCTCTGATGTCGACACTGGGGTTGTTGCTCTCCTGATGTTTGCTTGTAGGTGGGGACGTCTTCTATCGTTTACCCAGCAGCCATGTTTGGACCCCGGGTAGCAGCCAGAGGCGTTCCAGTGGCAGAGTTTAACACAAATACAACACCGAAAACAGAGTACTTCATGTAAGTTAGAGAAGCAGTTGCATGTAGGATACTATTTTAATGCATTTATAAAGTTAATTGCTTTGAACAAATGGCCCCAATATATGTAAAGTAATCTTTAAACTTTCATCATATTATTTTCACAGGTACCATTTCCACGGTCCATGTGGAACTACGCTGCCTCAGGCTCTGGCACCACACGAGTCAGAAGAAATCTAGACTCATCATTCTCGAGTTTTGTTTTTAGACAAAACTCTTTCTTCTTCCACAGTTTGATGCAATCCAAAGCTGAGAGATTTCATCTGTTTCTAAAGATCGAAAAGTACAAAATAACTTTAGAAATGTTAGGATAGATCTCTTTATACTTGAAACTCTAACCTACTAACTGGAATTAAATTGACTGCTTAGGAATGAAGCAGGAAGTATGCATTAATAAAAGAAAGGGAACACTCTATGCACATATAGCTGTTTGCATAGACWAAGATCTCCCTCCTTCAGATCAGACAACATGCTCTAATGCAGTGCTGTTGAAAATAACAACATACTACTTCAGCTTTTCTTTTTCTATCCAATGAGCACGTATACAGATATAAAGTTGTGCCTTTTTCCTAACTATTTACTTATTCTTAACCAAACGCTTGCTTTTAAAAAGTACAAATCAGTGTTACAAAGATTTAATAAAACGGTCAGTTAACTGAAAAAAGGGGGAAAAGGAAAAACCTGCAAAATTTACTTCCTGTTTTGTTTGACTGTTGCATGACATGGATTATTCATGAGACATTTTTAAAAACATTTTCAGTGTCTGTTATATATCTTGATGATGCTGGAAGTTGTCTGGAAAAGGAAAGAAATCAATTTGATAAGTGAACAATTATTTTGTCTGCAAAGAGTACGCACAGCTGTTTCTTATGTTTTACACTGCCAGTCCATTTATACAAAGCAGAACTAATAAAACACTCCATGGATCCATGCTGATTTTGTGTTATTGTGCAAATAAAAAAAACATGACTAAAACTCAGCTGGTTTTACAGTTATTGGGCTAAGATTTGATGTGGAATGAGAATGCACATACTATTTTCAGGGGTTTGATTAAAACAACTCTAACTTAGTCATTTCTCAAAATAAAATAATTTAGGGGAGACCAGGGACAGTTGCAACACTTTTTGCATTTGACTCTTACTCAGAGATGGTTTGAATTAGACAAACCAAATTTTAATACAATAAACATACATCTGTCTGTTAGTAGTCAAAACCATTTATAGATGATTAAAGAATGCATTTGTCACAATTTGTATTTGAAAATGAAAAGTCGGATGTTGCAATTGACCCCAGGGTCAGTTGCAACATTGGGGGTGGTTGCAGCATATTATTAATAGAATATATTTCATTGTAAATAAAAGTTTTATTTTTATAATTATTATTGCTTAATTTATAAAAACTAAGTTATAATATTACAGTGTTATTTATTCTTTTTGATCAAATGACAAACAGATTTGCTTTGAGTAGACCTTATATACAGATGTCAAAGACTCAAACTGATATAAAATACAGTTGACTTTTAGAGACAAGATTAGTAGAACAATTTGTGAAGCAATTAACTTTTGTTTTGCCTATTGTCACTGTACACCTACATTATGCTAAATTTACATTGAAAGAAGCTGGGATTTTAAAACCATTGTTGAAAACAACTGTAGAAAATAGGTCTTAAACACTTTTATGTTTTAAACTATAAAATTGTCATGAATACCCAATACCCTTTTAAGTGGAAACTTAATTTCAACATCATCTATCATCATTTATCATCTGTGGTCTGTTTTTATATGGATTTATCATATGGGGACAGTTGCAACAACTGTTGCATGTCCCCCTTCCTGTGAGCCATGATTAAAACCTCGTGTGTTCAGCTAAATAAGCTGATCTGGATACATGCTAACTATATTAGTTAAAAGTCAACATACTGTATCACTTGTTTAAACCATATAAGTTTGAACTGGAGCACAAAAACAGTGACAACAGTATAACAAAAATAAAGC